CCCAAGGCTTTTGTGAACTTGACTTGGAAATAATATACCTTTGAGTCAAGAACTAAATACCCAAACCTGAGCCACCAGTCCTATCTCCAACATCCAGTGAACCTAACAGTTGCTCAGGACCAAGAGAGGCTAGCGGTGTCTTAAGAAATTCATACTATCAATCCTCTCTGCAATGCAGTAGTAGCAGCTGTTTCTGATAAGCTCCAGGGGCTAAGGTGGTGGTGGTAGTAGTGCCAGTAATAATAACCACCTTGCATTTATTTAGTGTTTTAAAATTGAAAAGGCATTTTCATATCTATTATCCTATTTGATCCTCACACCCACATGTGGTAAGCATTGTCATAGAAATCACTGTAATACAAAGAGACCTGAAAACCCTTTTCTCCCAGTTAACTACCTCCATACCTGCATTGCATCTGTCAACCAGCGTGGCCTATCACTAAAGTGACTACATGCCTTGTATTAGAAAATGGACAGAGATGAGTTTAAACTGTGTGTCCCTGCCCCCACCAATTTCTCTTGTCACATTTTGACCCATGATAAACTTCTTTCCCCCTCTTTATATATGGCCTAATTTTTAAGTCACAGCCTCTGTGTTTAGTACTTAATTGTACATAATAGTTACTCCAAAAGAGCCATGATTTTGTCAGTGTGGGAGTTCCATCAACACCTTAGTAGATAACCATCAACACCTTGGTAGCACTTCATGAAGTGCTGGGGCCAAAAAAATGCATCACCTGGTGACCAACTTTCTGGCAATAAGCCTCTCAGCTCTTAGCTAGATGGGTCCTTGGATGAGAGATCTACATTTCATTGCCAGGCATGTACTCAGAGCCTTTCCATCTTAGCAGGCGCTGCCAGAGCTTACACTTCACTGATATGGCCTTCAAGAACCCAGGGTCACTATGGATCATGAAAGTAAGACTTCAGTGAAGGACATAAAAGAGTATTTTCCTGAAAAAAAAAATGCATGCAAATAAATTCAGTTTAAATGCACTGGTGAAACAGGTGACTTAAAAGAACCCTACGGCACATCACTTATAAAGTAAAATGACTTCTTAATTTGTGTTCTTTTGGTTCAGATTTTAATTGGGGCTTTTTTAAGACAGAACACAGCTATATCTATGTTCCAGGATAATCTTGCACCTGCTTCTCCCAATGGACATGAATAGTGACAGAGGAAACAATCTCCTCTCTGACTCACCTTTGTACTACATTCCCCCAAATTCCAATACCCCTAACTACACTAGTAAATACTCAGAGCTCTCCTTGGCTACAAGTGCAAGATTCATCAATTTTGGCCCCTGACTGGCCACCTGAAATGTGATTGCTTAACCCATAAGAGCCTCAGTAGAGACTCCCTCACACCCTGCCCACTCCAGTTCTAAGAGTCCAAGCACTGCTGTTCTTGCTGAAAAGAGAAGAGACATCTTTTTAGGCCATAGGACCATAGGATTCTCCATTTCTTCCGGACCAGAGGAGCAGCCTATCCACACCAACCTATCACACCAATCTCAAGAAACTGTGCTGAACCAGGTTCTTCAGGTCCTTGTTCTGGAATCTTCTAACAGGCTGCATAACTTAATACCTAGCTAGGCTTCATTTTCTCTCCTTATCCATTCCCAGGTGGAGAATATTGGATTACTTCATATATGTAAGGATTCTAATGATAAGCGGCTCTTGTGTTTTATATAAGAATTGTATAACAAGGATGGAACTGCCAATTAGAGGAAGAAAAATCAATTAACAAGAATTTATTAAGAAACATGGGGTCACTCAAGGTCCCTATCAGGTTTCCAGCCTACTGGTTTGGAGAGGTCACAACAGAATTGTGCTACGTTGACAGAGATTCTTTTATGGGGAAGGTTGCTCTGACCCATCTGAGTAGTCACCTAGACACTCATATGCCCCATTTCAACAGAAAGTCTACTGGAGTAGGGACTGCAGCTATGCTTTTGTCAGGACAGGAATGCAGCAGAGTAAGAAGAGGAGGATAGGAACCAGAATTATGCTTCAAGCAACCAGATTCACTGCATGACAGTGGAGTAACAGAAAGGAACCAGGGTCCTCGGGTAAACCTCATCCCTATCTCTTCTTGAAACAGAAGTTTTATAAAACTATACAAGATATACTGAGCTCCCTCTCCTGGTACTAAACCAGACCCCCTAGGCCCAGCCATCCCCACACAACCACCATACCCTACTTGAAGCTGTAAATGTACAGAAGCTAGTCTCTAGCAGCTCCTTATGCGCATGCAGACACAAACACCTTCAAAGGGAAATCCACTGCTGCAGTACTGGATGATAAGAGCCAGGAAAACCAAAGAGAAGCAGACTGCTGTCCCCACTGGATCTTCACCCCCTAACCCCTTAGCACCTCTAGCTTCAGCTCAGTAAAGCCCAAGGGGATTCCCCCAGGCACTGGTTCTCCAGGTGAAATGGGGATCTCCTAAGGGAATTCCAAACCTTCCCTTTCCGGCAGCTTCTCTGGAGTAACAAAAGGGACAAGCAGAGGAGATAAAGCTTGCGTAAGATGCAGGGTACCCAGGGCTTCCCCAAGCTGGGCACTTCTGTCTGGAGGGATGGGCTAAAAAGACTGAGGCACTTCGGAGTCTCCCTGGAGCTCCGGACCTTCAATCAGCACTTCCGATTTTCACAACAATCTTTAGGAGAGGAAGAAAACAGGCTGGGCCTGAGACCCCTGGGAAGCAGGGACCCCTTGGGGAACAGTTCCAGAGTCAGCTGGTCCCTGTACACACCCAGGTGGCTAATTTTTGCTGTTTGGTTTTTATAAATATCCATCTCCAGTGCTAGGCTCAGTTCAGTGTTCAGAAGGACAGTTTCAATAGCCAAATTGTTATTTAGATCCAGTTCATTCTGACAGACTGGGAACACCCAGCAGCACTGAACACAATGATGGCTAATTCTCTATAGTGAGATTCTATCCCCAACCACTCCACTACCCACCAGATTGAGATCAGACTCAGCTACTGAGTCAGGGCACCCCCCCCAAGACCTATATACCCTTAAGACTTCAAATTGTTTTTCCTTCCAGGGAAATTGTTTTTCTCTGATCAAAACCCTATAGCGAACACCATCTCCTAGAGCAGTGTCCCACAGAGGAGCGGTGCCCTTTCTACAACAGAAGAGGCTAACCTCATCAGCTCCACGCAGCCACAGTTCTTAGAGCTTAGACTCCCAGGGATAGCTTGAGTTGCAAACTTTCAAATTTAGAAACAACCAGGAGGGATCAACCCTAGACCTCAGTGGAGGGAGAAAGAAGAAAATCTTTGCATCCACATTAAAGGTGGAAGCATGATGTAATGGAAGTCAGAAGGCCAGGGTTCAAGGCCTAGATTTGCCTTTTTTTTTTTTAGCTGTGGTGACTGGGAAAATGATTTCATCTTTCTGGGACTCATTTTCCTTATCAGCCAAATACAGAAGGGGGGAAGGAGGGTTGAACCAGGTAAATGTTAAGGTCACCTCAGCTCTCACATTAGTGCTAAGTAACAAAGCTGGGGGTAAAGGAAGGAGGTAGTCCTGGTCCATTTCCTGCTCCTTTTCTGAAAGGCTCCCTTTGGTCACGGTTGCAATCAGCTGAGGGGCTGGAGCCATTTCTATTCATCTGGTGGCCCCTAAACTAACTGAATTTATTAAGATAAACTTAGTGGGCATAGAAACCAAAGAAAACTTTGCGGTTGGAACTAATTAGCACCCTGGATGGCATCCCCCAGCAAGAGGGAATAGAGCAATTCTGTAGCCTGAGCCTTCAATTGGGAATCAGAACTCCAAGGTCCTATTTCTAAACAGGTGACCTTGGGAATATTTGCACTATTTCTTTCCCCTGCCCCCTTTCAATATCTCTAAACTAGATAAGAGAAACTGAAGGCTCTGGCACCAAGCTGAGAAGTTGGGGTTAACTCATGCCCAGAAAGCAATTCAACAAATTTTCCTGGCAATCCCAAGTCACTAAGGGGACAAAGGGAGAGCTATACCCTGAGAAGAAAGCTGGAGCTGTCACTATCCAAGATAGCTATACTTTAGCAAGAGAATGCTGGTTTCTGGATCTGGAACTGTTAGCAAGTTAGCACAAGCAGACAACTGGGGGACATTCCTCAAAGTCAGTCCTCTGCCCTCCCCCATGGATACAGTCTGAGACCAGAATGCCATAAGATGACAGTGTTGAGACTGGCCACCCTCATTTCCAATGAGGTTTCCCCTGGCAGCCATACAGCTTGACTAACACTGCAGAGGGAGAGATGTATGCTACTTAAGGGTACTTATCCACTTTCAAACCACTCTCCCCTCCTCCCCCAATATAGGTCTTCGAATATGAGACTATGGAAACTACCCACCAAGGTGTACTATGGAAAATGATAAAACAGCTGTTCCCTAGACTCCAGTTTGCCCCCAGCAGAGGGCTTCCCCCACCATTTTCTTTCCTAAAGGAGGAAAAGTCTCCTGAGCTGAGGGAAGGGTAGGAGGAGGGAGGAGGGAAAGAGGAGGGAGAAGGGTGTCAGAGAAGTGCATAAATAATAAAGGAAGGATGAATGCTTAGATTGGAGGGGGAAGGAATGCACCTGGGGTGCCCAGGAATAACCCCAGGAACCAGGCAGCCAGAGCTGCAGAGTGGGAGAATCTTGAGGGGATTCAAGGCAGGGAGAGGTGGGTAGTAAGGCTGCCACTCTGAGCTCTAATCCATCCCCCCACCCACCCCACAGTATTCCAATCTCCCCTAAAGCTCCTACCCGCCCTTGGCAGTAAGCTCTCATCCCAGTGACACAAGGGGTCAGTCACCCTCTTCCTCACAGCTCTGGGCTTCCTCGAGGTGGGCAGGTGGGGGGGATGCCTCAGGGTTCCGTGCTCCCCCCTCCACGGGTGACCCCACAGCGCGTCCCCTTCGGGGCCCCCCTCCCGCAGCAGCCCCCCCCCCGCTTTCACTCTTCCTCCCTCCCCGGGGCAGGGCAGGATCGGGGGGCATCCCCCAGAGAGCGGGCTCACCTCACTCATGGCGGCAGGACGGGGCTCGTTGGAGGAGCTGCACCCGCAGGTGAAGGGGCTAGCAGGGGCGGCGGTTGTCTCCGGGAGCCCCTGGCCGTCGGCAGCTGTCTCACCGGGCTGCCCAAGAGCGGGGCGCGCGAGGCTGGGCACACAAGCGGAAGGAATGCAGACAGACCCCCGCGGCTGGGCACTCAGCACCCCAGCTTCGGAGAGCTTTCACTCCCGTTATCCCTTTCCGACCTGTCCTGTCAAAGCGGCTCCGCGATGCCCGCCCCGTGTTTTATATCCAGCTCCCGAGACTCACCTCCGGCTTGGCCAATGGGGATGCCTTATACCGGAAGACTGACAGTCGGGCCCAGCCAATGGCAGAAGGCTCAGTGGTTTGCAGCATTTCCAAACTAGGGTAAGATAGACAAACGAGCGGGAGGGAGGGGGAGATGGGGGGGGGTTGGAGACGGGGAGTACTTGTTTAAGAAATAAACCAGGAGGGAAAAGTTGGGAGGGAAATAGCAAGGGGTGATGGGAAGTAGAGAGAGAGCATGGATTGGAAAGGGAAGATCCAACAGATGTCACTTAGAACCACTTACTGGTTCTTGCTGATATGTATAGGTAGGGGGCAAACAGAAAGAGAAGCCATGATCACTCCAAAGTGTTTCCGTGTGAGAGAAAATTGAGACCACCTGCTTGACTGTTATCATCATAACTTGTCGTTTTCACCCTCCCCTCCAAGGACTGGGTACCAATAACATATTTGCTACCATCCTGGGTACTGTACAGGCTGCAAAGAAATTTGAAGCATGGTCCCTTGCTCTCAGGGAGCCTACATTCTCACCCTGGAGATTAAACACATAAGGCACATTTCTGGATTGAAGCTGTTTGCTTGGCACAGCATGCCCTCTAAAGTCTGGTCAGTTCCTCCCAAGCACTGTGCCAGGAATTTGGTTACTAAGCACCAAGCAACTGAAATACCTTTAGATAAGGAGACTAGCTGATGGAGAGATACGGATGAAAATGCAGCCAATCCAATCTGTGTTGTATACCTACAGACACAGATACCACAGTTCTTCATGTCCAGCCTCCTCATTTTGCAAAAGGGGAAACTAAAGCCAGGAAATGGGCTGTGACCTTTGCAAGGCTGAACAGTGAGCCAGGAATTCCTAATCAGGGCCTCTTTCCACTATGGTCACAAGAATGCTACTTTCTAATTACTATCAGTATTTATGATTTGGAGTGGGGGGAGGTGAGAGTGGGGAGGCATTCAATTCAAAATTTAAAAGAGAACATTTACGGACAAGTCACATAGGTAAATATAAGGGACTAGACCTATAATTTCATTGATATGGGGAACTCCCAGCTAAGATAGCTTCCTCTACTAATGGAGTCAAAACTATCACTTCAATATCATCCCAGAGACTCATCTATAGCATTGAGACATTAAATGACTTGTTCACAGTCTCACAGTGAGTTTATATGCCTGGGCAGTTGGGTGATGCTGTGGATAGAGCACTGAGCCTGGAGTCAGGAAGACTCATTTTCCTGAGTTCAAATCTGGCCTCAAGACACTTAGTAGCTGTTTTACTCTGGGCTAATCACTTAACTGTTTGCCTCAGTTTCCTCATCTGTAAAATGAGCTGGAGAAGGAAATGGGAAACCACTCTAGTATCTTGCCAAGAAAACCCCAAATGGGGTCACAAAGAGCTGAACAGAACTGAAATGACACAACACTGACTTCAAGTGTATCAGTCTAGCTATCAGTCCATGCTGCTTTTCACAAGTTATATACCTTAACTAAGTTTCAACTATTACTAGTCATTGCTCATCAAAACTCTGCCTTTCGTTTCATTAGTCTTTGAAGCCTGTCACTAAAGACACTCTCAGACTTTCTAGAAAAATACCCCCAGGCAATGCCAGCCATTTGCAATTTTCATTTTAAAATTCTTTAGATGCTTTTCCCCTACTATCCTCATTGATGGCAAAGGTTCACCTCACTCATAGCTATTGCTTAGCTTTCCTTAAGTAGCTACTTTCAGTCGATGTCCCAAATCACTTTTCCTCTCTAATCGCTAGATCTTGATCATTCTTTTTTTCAGTAGGTCCCCAAATATCTCTCACCTATGGGTCCCCAATATTGTCCCTAGCTCCAAGACACTTTGGGAATCTGTATCCACTCAAAACTGTAGCTCACAATTCCCCTACCTATGTGTTTTGTTTACTAGGCTAACCAGAAGACGCAGTTCAAAACAACAACAACAAAAAAAGATTTCCCCAATAAATGCCAGAGGTACACTCTCCCACACCACCAGGGGAAGAAACCATATACAAAGGACACATAACCAGGGAACACTCCTGCAGAGTACACACAGCCAGTGCAATTCATACACCTAAGGTTGCATCCCTACTAAAATCCTAGCTGCTGCTTATTTCTCTGATGTCTTCTGGTGAAGTTGGTGGTCTATAAGATACTTTCTCTTTAGACTGGAGTCCTCTGCTGAGTTATTCTCAATAACTGGTTGCTCTTTATCACTCTCTCCTGCCATTTCCACTTAACTACTCTGTGTTGATTTTCACTTGTTGTTCTGTGTCTTTCCCCAAAGGGGAAGATTTTCATTTAAACTACTACATACTCCTGGCCCTAGTCTGAGTCCTTATAGATTGTCCCCAGGAGAAGACTGAAAAGGCCTGGCTTGGAATTGTGCTGAGGAGTTTCACTGCAACCTTCTCAGTGCTACTAATGGAAAGCCTGAAAGTCTATGCAAATGACCTCTGCAATAGGAACTGGTGACCTTCCCCCTATTTTCCTCCCACTACCACCCCATCCTCCCTCCTCCCTAACTAAATCCCCACATTGTGACGCTGGAAACCTTGGTCTTTCTTTCCACCCACCTTACTCCCTCTTAACCCCCGGTAATAGATCTCTGTACTCCCTACATCCCCATATACCTAAGATTCCATGACTCACCTTTCAACAAGGATATAGTAGCCTGGGTTACTAAGTTGCTAACTAGGGCAGTTCCAACTTTTTTCTATGTTGCTACCTCCTTTCCTTTTTCCCTTTTTAATGAGTGGCTAATTAGCGTTGGAAAAAACTTTTTTCTTTATTAAAGGAAGCCTTCGAGCAGTTTTTAAATAGTTATATAATGGCTATCTCATAATGTTTCAGTTCTACATTTCAAAGGATCGGTGATCCCATCAAGGAGAGCACTCTTCCCATGGCACATGCAGATACAAACCCATCCATCCTTTCTTTCCGCTTGTCCCTGTCCATGTCCTCCCTTAGAAGGCTCTACCCAGATTTCTTTAAGTTGCTTACCATTCCACGTGTAGTAAGGAATTGATCAAGGGCTTCCTTGATCTGTTGAATCACGCCCCCCCCCCAAGTCCATACAGATATAAGAAGCAGATAACAGAGACAATGAAATGTCAGGGCACTCTGTTTTCAAAATCACAAATGGACAAAAGTCTAAAAGGGGCACACTTCTCCATTTCATCGAGCCAAGGTAGCACTCCCTTTCTCACTACCCAAATAGCCCACCTCATTTTCTGAACAGCATCTTTCACACCACTTGGTGACCTCACAAACAGAAAGCAATGCAGCATACAACCTAATTGTTAGTGCTTTCTCTCAATAGTATCTCAAAGCCAACTCGTTGAGAAACAGAATTCTTACCTTTCCCCTTAACCCAACACTAACTGCTGACCAACTGCTAGGGATAGGTAAATAATTCCAAGAGCCCTGGGAACAGCAGCACCCCTTCCCCAATGGACACTACTGGCCCTACTTCTGGCTCCACCTCCAAAGCCATCATGGAGATGTGACCTGGATATTTCCTTAGCAGGTGTTATAGCCCCCACCTCCTCAATAGCCCAAACTTCAGAAGACCCAGAAAAGAAAGCTCTTACCACCAGTGTCCCGGACACTGCCAAATCAGAAACTAATATGGTTTGAATGATGAAAATAATACTGAAGAGCAAAATTTACTGTCTTGCTGCTGCTCTCAAAGGAGCCCTGGGTCTTTCCATCTGACTTGCAGCCAAGCCGTCTTACACATATTATTTAGAATGTGAGCTCCCTGAGGGCAGGGACAGTCCCACTCCTCTCTGAATCCTTAGTACTTAGCATGATGCTTTGCACAGAGGAAGCACCTAAGTGCTTTTTCATTCATTCATTCATTCCTCCTGCAAACATTCCAATTTATGTTGAGAGCATTCTCACTCTAGTCCGTTCAGGTTCCCTCTCTCTCACCCCCTCATATATAATCAATTACCAAGTCTTTTCAGTTCTACCTCCCTAGCGCCCATTGCCTTCCCTTCTCTTACATAGCTAGGCTGGAACACTAGGAAGAGCGCCAGAGTTAGAATCTGAAGATCTAAGCTGGAAAGTATTAGTACCTGTATGTATGCCCGTGGGCAAGGAAGTGAAGCTCTCTGGGCCTCCCTTTCCGTATTTGTAACATGAGGGGGTTGATGAGAGCATCTCTTGAGATGCCTCCCAGCTCTGATCTAGCATACCAGGATGATCCTGGGTACTCCCTCTTCTCTGCTTTTTAGAATCCCTGGCTTCCTTCAGGTCTCAGCTAAGGTCTCCCCAACCCACATCCCATGAAGTTTTTTTTTTTATTAATTCCCTTAGATGTTAGTCTTTTCTATCTTCTCAGATTTTCTTATTTAGCAGCTCCCCCTCCCCCTTCACAGAAGGAACCCTGAAAAGTTATTCTAAATTCAAAGCATGTTGTGGGTCAGCATATTCCGAAAACCCGAAACTTATGAGCCACCCTCCCCATGCCTCCTCCAATGTTTCTTTTACTAAGTCAACTAGAAGACATATTAATTAGTTGAAAGCACAGCACATTTAATGAAATGAAATAAGTAGTAAAATAGCTCCTCCCCCCACAATACATACAGGGCTGTACTTTCACAGATCACCACACCACCAGTGGGAGACAGGATACCTACTTGGAACAAGTGTGGCACACTGAGGAGGTCTATTGTGAGGAGTTGGGGACTACAGAACCTGTAGAGGAAATAGCCAGGTCATACCTCCATGAAGGCTTTGGGGACTGGGCTAGAAATAGGACCCTTGGTATTTGTTGAGAGAATACATACATAGAGGCACTTACATGTACATGTAGCCAGGGAACACATATGGTTAGGGAATATGCCTGGCTAGGTCTTCAGGAAGAGTCAGTTCCTGCTGGAAATCTCTGCCTCTGTAGTTGCCGCTGCTTACTTGCTGAATTATCAATAATTACTGGTGTTGTTAGTG